CCCGGCCGTACGGCACTGTTGGGCCCTGTGGTACATGTGTACAGTGGCAGTGGGTCGTTACGGCACTCACCTTGCGGGCTGAATACATTTCCGATGCCATGGTGTGACAGCAACGGAAGTGCAGGTGCGACCGATGATTTAACTTCAATTAATTGACCGACTTGACTACGCGCAAGAGCGACACACGAGTGACACACACACACCGGCAGGAGATTCCAAGCAGACTGACGCGTCGCCGGCCGGCCGGCTCCCTCGCTGGCTCGGGTGCGGGCGGGCGCCGCCGGACGCGGGGAGGAGCGGTGGGGAGGCTTCACTCGGCTGGCTGCCGGTGCCGGGCCGGGTCTTCTGCTAGCGGAGGGGGCGGCGAGGCGGCAAAGTGTTGGGGTGGTTGCCTGCATGCAAGGCGCAAGATATGCACGGGGCCGTTGCACCCGCGTGCCCGTGAGACACGACGTCCGGACACGTGCTCGCCCGAGTGCGGCGGCGGGCGTCCAGGAGCGCTGCGCTAAGTTTTCGCTTAGCTTTCGCGAGGGAACTCCCACGCGACCCGCTTTACGCCGTGAGTCGAACCCTGGCCCAGAGCCGAATCCTTCGACACCTTCGACGCAGTTTCACCAGGACGGTCGGTAGCCACTACGCCGTCGGAACTCCACGAGAAGAACGTGGTGAAATGACGGGTTTGATGTCAATTTGGCATTTGGTGGCCTGAGAAAATTTTCAGATCGACGGAGATTCGAACCGACGACCTCCTACGCGTTAGGCGGACGCGCTACCGACTGAGCTATAGAGACAATACTTCGATGAACATTCCAGGGGACGAGCCATTCTTCGCTAGAACACCAACACAGTTGCGCCATCGAAACACGCCTCACTTTAGGCACCTCTCCAGCTTCAGGCAATAGGTTTCCAACTGCATGCGAAGTTTCTTGTATCAAGCTTTCCTCCTAGCCTCTGCAGTACCGACAGCAATAGCAATACGGTGCGGCAATATGGCGGCAGCCGACACCACCGAGTGCGGGCGCTCCATGTGGACACACGCAGGTTATGTTTACTTCATCTTTGTTTATTAAAAAGGAATAACGGTTCTTTGACCTTCGTAAACCTAAAAGAGCATCTTATCATGGATTCGTCAAATCTCTACTCCAAGAGTTTAGAAAAGTCATTGCTTCTTTTATCAGGAAATGAATTATTTGGTATGTAAGAGTGCCTTAATGCCTTAATTTAGATACAAAATAATTATGAACAAACATTTTAATAATACCATAAATATACAAAAAGCCTTAGTGTCATAGGTGTAATTTTGTTTTTAGTTTTTGTTTTTTTTTAACCTTTGTTTCTGTTGTTTGTTGTGTGTGATTTTGAGCAAAATCCAAAGATTTCAGTGTATCTGAAAACAAATTTATTTATTGTGCAATAGCAGCTTTTCATTTGCTTGATCTGCCCTACTAGGTGAAAATGGCAACGCTAACCATCTTCTGTCGAATGGCAACCTCTCAAAGGTTTTAAATTCACCTTTCACCACCGAATTATTTGCCAATTTCCCACAATTTTATGATAATAAGGACATTGAAAGCAGTTTGAAGAAAGCCATCAGCTGCTGGTTGGAAGCAAACACCTCAATCGAGTGGTAATTGCCCTGTCTACAGTCGAATTAGTTTTGTTTTTATCTTTAGAATCTACCATGATATGCTTAATGTTTCAGTCAGTTTCAAATACTTGTCATTGGCATATCTGCTCTTCTTAAATTCATTGAAGACAACTGGACTGGCCCTGCTGTTGATGAGAGGTGAGACATTTTCATTTGTTGTAAACCTTTCTTTCTTATGGATGTATATGAAATTGTCTATGTAATAGTTTAAAATGGAAATCAATATGTCCTTTTGTAGTTTGCAGTGGTTACAGACGCACATAAAATATTTAGAGTTAGACGAAGACTTCAGTAATCAAATCATATCAAATTTAGTTCTTGATGGAGAATCTCTAGTGAGTGTCACCAGACACCCTGAATTGCTGGTGCTGGCACGGGCAGCTCTTCTCACTGAACTTCCAAATTTAGAGGTAAGTAATGAAAGACTTCACAGAGTTAATATTTTTCCCCTCAGTTTTCAATAATAACAAATTAAGTTGTGTTGTTTATTTTGTAAATTTATTTTCAAGAGTTCTTTGTGGTGGTGGAGATTTCGATGCTTGTTCATTCATCAGCAAATTTTGGAAGAGAAATCACCTGTGCTTCATGATGAACTGTATGTTTTAAAAGAAAAACTACAGCAGTGTGAAGATTTGAGAAAGGAGAAAGAATTAAATGTATTATTACATTTAGAGTTAACTCAGATGCATTTGTTCTATCATGAAGTTCAACCCTCTGAGCAGGTTCTGTCAATTGCCCTTGTGTCTGCGGGCCTCAATATCAACCTTACTGGTATACAATTTTGTTTCAAGTGTCACTTATGTCTTGCATAGTAATTTTAATACATGATTTTATTCTGATGGTCTTAATAATGTCTCACCAGGTGCACTTGGGAAAAGAACAAGATTCCAACAACGTGATCTTGCCCAACTCATGCTAGATGTTCAGTCTTCTGAACTGAAAACAACGACTCCTAAGCTTCCTCTAGAAGATTTGCCTAAAGTATAAAGTTTACTCATCCATGTCTGGTTATTAATTATTTCTACATGAATATAATAATTACAAAACCTACTTATTTTATATTTACAGGACTTAAAACTTGATGATGAAGTTCGATTAGATAAAATAGCCTTTAGCAACACAGGTGATGGAAAATATGGTGATCTAACTCCTTTGCAGCAGGCCTGTGTTCTTAGTTCATTGTAAGTTCATGGTTACCTCTCTAATCTAAAACTTGTATTGATCCTTGTTTTTCATAATGCTGCATTTACATTTTAACAGTGTCCAAACTCAAAAATGCCAGCCAAAAGACAAACTGGCTGATGAGGAACTTCTTGCCTATTTAACGGTAAAACACTAATTCTAACTTAAAAGTACTTTTACCTATAGAATAGTTTAAAAAAGGTAAACAAATATAATGAACCTGTTTCTGATGTTTTAAATTTATCTACAGTGCCTGTTGAGCCAACCTCAAGTGTGGAGTTTTCAGCTCACATGCCTCATGTTTCGTTCAAAGATCGAATCTAATCATTCCCGCACAGTGGAACGCTCTATGACTCAAGCCCAGGTATATATTATTTTTTGCACTATGGTGTAGCTTCTGTCTTTCATTGAATCTAATCTATTTTTTTTTTGTGTTCAGGTGCTTGTAGATGCTGTTAATGCCAACACTCCTGGCCCTTGGCAGCGTCTATTTATGATTTTCTGTTCTTATATGAAGCCTTGGTGGTGTTTAGAAGAGGAGCTAGCCAATTTGCTAATCTCCCTTGGTTGCATTAACAGTGCACTTGACATCTACTTGCGTTTGCATTGTTGGGAACAAGTAATTGCATGTTACAATCATCTGAAATTAAGACATAAGGTAAGTTAATTCCATCTACTTGTCTTCTTATTAGTGCTTCTTACAGTATCTCATTAAAAATCCAATGTTAACAAATAGGCTGAAGAAATTATCAGACAAGAGCTAGATAAAAAAGAGACCGTGAAACTATGGTGCTTATTAGGTGATGCAACTGATAATGTTGAGTACTATGAAAAGGCGTGGAATCTTAGCAACCAGAGAAGTGCCAGAGCTCAGAGGCACTGGGGGCTTTATTTCTTCCACAGAAAGCAGGTACTAGAACATTTATTAAGCGTAATATTTAAATTGTTAAATACCACTATGTCTCCATTTCTTATTCTTATTCATAGTATGAAAATGCAATCCCTCATCTCAAAGAATCTTTGGCTCACAATTCACTGCAAACAACACTTTGGTTCCAACTCGGGTATGCTTCCCTTCAACATGAAGATTGGACTACGGCTGCAACAGCATATCGTCGTTGCTGTTTCTTAGATCCTGAAGTAAGTCGAATTTTGCCAGTTTTTGATTGAAATGAGTAGGAGATACTTGATTGTCTAGCCGTAGACTCTTAACATATTTTGCTGTTTTTCAGAACTTTGAAGCCTGGAACAATTTATCCAAAGCATATGTGAAACTTGGGCAGAAAAATAGGGCATGGAAAGCTCTTCAAGAAGCATTAAAATGGGATTTTGAAAACTGGCGGGTGTGGGAGAACTTTTTGTTAGTTAGTTTGGATTGTGCTGTGATGGATGAAGTAGGTATATTCTGTTTTTAGTTTAGAGATTGTTTGAATTATCTGTCTTAAAAACAATCCCCTCTTTAAAAGGTTATTCGAGCTTATCATCGCATCTTAGATCTTAAACAAAAGCATGCGGATGTTGAAGTTTTAGAGATTTTAGGAAGAGCCATTATTGATAATTTGCCAGACTGTGATGGGGAACCCTGTGGAAGACTTCTAGATAAATCATTGACTCTTTTTGGGAGAATCACAGCTCAGGTACTTAAATATTTCATACTGAAATACCGGTATATTATTAAACTTTTTTTATATTATGTTTTTTTTTCTATTTTAAAAGGTGACAAACAACTGGAAAGTGTGGCAAATTTATTCTAGATTAACATGTGCTATGCCAAATGCTACTCCTGAGTCGGAGTTTAGAGGTGTACAACACCTTCAGAAAGCACACCGCAGTGCAATTGCTGATGCCGCTTGGGTCAATGATAATGAGAATTGCCTTCGAATCATTGAACTCAGTGATGAACTAGCAAATGGTACAGAGTATAAATTACCAATGAATTCTAGGTGCAACTTAATGCTGCTTTATTTTTATCTCACTTGAAAAACTCTCCTTTTTTTTTGCATCTTCTAGTGTCTATGGCTTATGCTGGTAAAAATTCCGATAACAAACAGGCTATGTCTGTTTTATCGTCAGCAAAACTTTCTCTGAAATCGACCTTGACAAAAATAAAGGTACAGTAGTTTCAATAATCTTTTTCCATTTTTTTCATAAAATGTGCCTCTCTATAGTTAATGCATTTTTGTTTTTCAGCAACAACGTCTAGACCTTCTCACAGGGCAAGTTGATGAAGCTCTGTTGCCTCAGTTCTTAAGTTTAGAGGCAAAATTAGAAAAAATTGGAAGTTTAACAGCATAACTTGCAACTTTACTATGAGTAAATTTTCCTGTGATAAAGTAAAATAATTAAAGGTCAACTTTATAAACATTGCAACTTCACTGCTTTTTATTTACCTTTGATTACATCATAAACCACGGCTTAGCTAAAAACAAAATGGTTTTAAATCGGCAAAAGTATTGATCATGAAGCTGCTTGTAGCTAAACGGTTGTAGCTATGATTGACATGGCCACATGGCAGCATCATCGGAACCAACTGCAAAGAAGACAAGATAAAGCTGCCATGTAGCTGAGTCGGTCTTACTACAACCATTTAACTACAATCAGGGTTGTTGCTAGCCAAGCGTCAACGGCACCGTTCGAGTGGTTCGAGTATGCATGCCTTACAGTACATCTACAAAATATTCCGGAGCACCTTAAGATCACCAATGCCCAAACGACTGTTGTGTACTGTGAGCATACTCTGTACTTCTGATTGTGTTTGTTGGGGGTAGGCTACTTACTACACTTCATACCATGAACTTGCTAATTTTTACCAAAATGAGAGAAAGAGCATAAAGAACGAGTAAAAATGTTATATTTAGTAACAGCAGTTACAAGACATTTTATCAGAGGAAAAAATAAATCATTCGTGACACACTTAAAACAACAAATCACAACTTGTATGGACTTACACTAACAGAACAGTATTCATGTCTAGTAGAAGCCAACTAATGAAACTAGTTTATTTCTAGTTTTTAACTCTCAATTCAATTAGCAGCCTATAATTTTGTACACACACAAGAAAGATGATGGCTCATGTTCATGAAAACAAATTCCCCATTCAAAAGTATTTTCTAACTATATACATTAGCTTTTCTGACCTGTGTGGAATGTACAGAAAAATTAAACTATGAAAGCTAATTCATAACTTCCAAAAGCGGAAATGGAAATTTGTTTAAAAAAGTAGAAACACAGATGGCACAACTGAACAAACCATGTACGCACATAAATTTTTCCCAAGTCATAGAAAGGAAAAGGATTTCTGGAAAGAGTCAGTCATTACAATATTGAGGTTGCTGGACATACAGCATGCCTCTTTAAGTTAGAGAGCACTTCATGATAAAAATATTTCAGTGCTGATTCCGAAGTTAAGATTAAGAATATACAAAAGTACAGAAACCAATGCAAATGCAGTCTCACATTATTCTCTCTTCCAAATTGACAAACTATGTTGATTTTGGCCCCAACCTCAGAGGATATTAGATATGCACAGCAAATACCAGTTGAAACAAAATTAAAATTGGTCAAAGTTTACGAGGCTAACATGACTCAGAGTCAGAATGAAAATAAATTAAAGAAAAGACCAATAAACTTATAGCACTTATGGACTATGCCTGTTACACCGACACATCTAGGTGTAAAGATTTTAAAAGGCTTTCAGCTATGATAACTGAAGAATATCACACATGGGAAAACAATTAAAAAATCTCATAAGACACCTTGGAACAATCACACATATGCAAACACACAAATTCATACGTACTCACACACAATCTATACAAAGACTAGAACATTACAAGATAAGTTCTTTGAGTTTACTTTTGCGATAACATAACACCTATATCTGACAGTAGAACAAGGTACAATAAATGCCATTGACCTATGAAAAAATCAAGACAATTATCAGGGCTTGATGAATTGGTACAGAATTACGTACTATAATGAAAACCTAAAAAGCAAAACGGAAAATGGCAAAAGAAACAAACTGTTTTGAAGGTGTCATACAACTTTAATTGACTGACCCTGGTATTCAAGGTGTAAAACATGTAAAAGAAAATAAACATTAACTGGAAAATACTATTTGAAGCATGAAACTTTTCAGAACAAAAGTCACAGTTCCCACTGACTCCAGTAAGTTATAAATCATACAGAGCCTTCAGGAACCAATAAATATTAACTAAATATTACATATTGGCTCTTAACCCAAACTTAAATTTCAGATTAGAAAATATCAGGTTCTGATACAAACACAGCCAGTCTTATAGTTAAAGTGTCAGTAGAATTTTGAATCAAGGAGTTGGCTTTACTGCTTCTTCATTCTGGAAGTTGATTTTGTACTGCCCAATGTGGTTTACAACTTCCAATAAACTCTCTATCTTATCAAAATCAGGACTTAAATAATATAGCTTGATGCGATCTTGAGTATGACATTCCACTACACCCCATCGCTCAAACAGTTTTAAAGCATTTTTGATTGAGTCTGTAGACACACTCTCAGCTGCAATATCGGAAAAAGATAAAACATTAGGTAAAGCATTTCCATGAAGGTGGTAACAAGAGCAGCATAAGCAGAAGTAATAAATGTATTACCATGATTAATAAATCCCTGGTCAAGCTGCAACTGGACCTCACTCAGGATTTTCTTCATCAAATCCCTTTCAGTAACTTCTTGATCAACTAGGAACCTCAGAGACATAGCTGTTACAATATAAGTATCAATAAGAGGCCGCACAAGGCATTCACGGCCCATTAGTGTCTTCATTGACTCCTTGTTGTTAACATTAACCTTAAAAAATGGGAAGAGGAATTGATCATAAATACACAGTTGATTAAAAATAGAGTAAAATTATTAGTACAGGTATGAATAGTTTTACACACTTCATAAGGAGGGCCTGGATTTTCCTCAAACTCCTCATCACTGTCTTCCATGGTTTTAGCATACCGATTACCCCATTCTTGTTCTTCAGTATACATTTCCTGTCAATTAAATGTTTAATTAGAAAGAAAAGTAAAAAAAGGACAAATTGTTTAAGCACAAGTTAAATAGAAAACAAACCTGTTCAGTGCTTAAGATCTCTTTTTCTATCATGACTTGAATAGCTTCACTTATGAGAGAATCAAGATTTTGACAAGCTTTGGCAAAAATAAATTCTAATTGAAGGACATCACACACTTCTTTGGTCCGTTCCAAAATTTGTTCATGAGTGAATTTCTTTTTCTCAACAACTTCTGCTGTAGGGCTAGTTGGGTCATATTCAATAAGGGAGACTATTGCTGTGGCTATAAAAAAAAGAAAAATCTTTCATGGCAGTGTGTCACAAGAGATAATTTTTAATGGTTCATTTAATTCACTTACCTAGAGCAGATTCAATGGCAAAGTGTGAAAGCAGTCCATTACTATAGTATGCTAGTTCTATGACATTTGGCAGAGAAGTAATAGGTTTAACTAATGTTTTCTCTTGTCCGTTTAATACTTGTTTTTCTTTTTTCACAAGATTAGTTCCTAATAGCTCAACCTTGAAGTGAGAACAAGGCAATGATATAACATTGAGAAAGAAACTTTGAATAAATAAAAAGTATTTATGTAATGTGTAAAGTAAAACTTACTGTATAATTAATTACATCCACGGAATCTCCTGAGAACCCGCAATCCCTTCCGGACCATTCCAATTCCTTCCTCAAATTGTCTAGTGCAATAGCTATTTCTTCAATGGGTGCACCATCACGGAATGAGGAAAGAAGAAGAAATGAAACAATGTTGGTTGTCATAACTGCAGTTGATTTTGTGCAATCTGTTCAGAGAAACAAGAAAAGAAAAAGGATTAAGAGCTTGCTGTAAGGAAAACACTAGGTATTAGTAGAGAAAAGTATGCTTACCGTGAATAACATGTCTAGCAATGCTTTCTACTAATTGCCTGTGCTCTTCCACAACTACATCAGTACCATACAAAGAGGAGCTAGATGGTGTAGATTGCAGCACTCTCTTTCCATTTCTCTTCGACTTTTGATGTTCCTCCTCATCTTCATCACCAAGCACATTTCTTCGCAGATGTGATATCTGAGATTGCTGGAATGACTTTATCATGTCCTGCACAAAATAGACATAAATAATTTACAGGATACTTAAAAAGGAAATTTAAATATACATATTGAAATTAAGATGTTTTTTTTTTTTTTAAATACCTGAAGGGAGAATGGTTGGTTGAAGTCAATGCGGCATGAGCCATAATTAGATGTCAATGTTTTCCAGATACCTCTTATGGCAGATGTGAATGATTCCATCTGCTTAGGTTGGCCCATTTGTTCTCGGGTAAAATTTCCATCAACAAGTTTCTCATAGTTCAGACTAACAGGAACCAACAAAGCATCCTCGACAGTTCCATCCATGTAAGCATCCACAATAACACTCAGAAGACCTCCTTAAAAACACAAAATGGAGAGATGTTATAAGTACTTGCTAGAAGCAGACAAAACTCCAACGTATTATTAATCCAAAACTGTAATAATTACCCTTTGGCATGCACGCTTTCCCTGTCCTTGTGCGCCCTCCTTCAGCAAAAAACTCCAAATTGTGACCAGCACGCAGAGAGTGCATCATGTAAGTGTGAAGTACAGCACGGTAGACAGTATCGCGCCGTCCAGCAACAGGGTCCATTCGCCTCTTAATAAAAAAAGCACCAAGACCACGTAGAAGCCCACTAGAAAGAAATTGAGGACAAAAAAGAGGTTGATTGATCCAAAATTTCAGTATCAGTAGAATTGTGATTGTAAATAAAACATAATTGCAAATGTAGTACCCAAATACTGGAATCTTCAGATTGTCTCCAGCTGCTACCATAGGAGATTTGACATCAATATTCAATAGAATGAAAGTGACAAGAATGTAGTCAAGATGAGACCGGTGAAGTGGTAAAAAGATTAACGGCAAACCACTTCGTCCAGCTTTCTGCAACATCTCCACTTGACTGGGATGTACCACAACTGATGTCAAAAAGCAAGGCAACACTTTCAACATCACCCATGATGTAACTCTGCAACATAAAGGATGAAGTTTAAAGAAAATCATAGCAATGTGACAAGATAGTAAAAATTGTGATAAATAGCAGACCTCAAGAGAAGATCAGAAAGTTTTGATCGCATGTCATCTAAAAGACGTTTTGCTCTTAGTTCATGTTGATGAATTAATTTGTTGAGGGCATCTTGACTTGTTTCTCCTCTTTGATTACATTGGTCTTTGGCAGTGTGCTCAATTGCTTCCTTCAAACGTTCATCTTTTAACACCTGTTGAATAAAACATATTCAAATTTAGAACATTAAATTTAATTTAGACACGTTAGTTCAGACAAAATCAAACCTTACTGATTCATTGATAGTAGGATAGTCAAATTTCCTGAGATTGTAGACTTGGGCAAGATGTTTGAAAGTTCGAGATATGTAGCCGCTATTAGGAGCAAATTCCTCCTGCAGAATATTTCTTAAACTGACAGATTTAGATTCAAGATCAGCAGCACCCACCTATTAAAAAAACAAAAAGGTTGGTAATGTGGTAGAGTAGACCAAGTTACTTAACATGAAGATAGACTACAATCAAAATCTTGAGACAAACAACTTAAAAAAAGAGGAATAAAGGAACATTTCTGAAAAACGTCAACCTTATGATTATCACTGAAGAAATCACGCCACTTGTATTCATCCATGTTTGCTTTCTGCTTCTGCTGTCCCACTTAAATGTTGTGTAGTGTATAAATAGTATGCCTCTGCCTCCCCCCCCCC